TCCCATTTTTGTGCCTTCAATTGCTTCAAACAACACAACAACGAAGCGGTTCGGTAGCGCACATAAAAGACGATGTCGACATAATCAGCGCGCTCGCTATAGTAATACATGAAAAGATGAATGTGAGTATGAACTATGAGAGGATCCTTTGTACACTTTTTTTATTTTACATTTTTCTTTGAATCGACGAATGTGGTCGCTCATCTGCCGTGTATTTTACACACATTCCACATTGAAATTGCAATGGAGCGACAAAAAAGCATATTGACATGATGTATATGAGCCGTTCAAAAGGCAGGAAAGTGTAAAAATAATGAAAAACAAAATGGCAACGCTTAACGCAGTAAACTTCTTCTCTTTTGCCCCTCGTGAACATGTGTTTGTGTGTGTGTGTGTGTACTGTGTGTATATATGACGCCGTCACTGATGAGCTTTTGTCCCCCTTTCACCACATAACACGCTTGAGAATGCTTCAATGGCTGTAACTCAACTCATCGTGAGTGTGGAACAGAAATCAAATGTTATTCAGGCCAGAGACTAGGCAATTAATTAATTTCAAATGCCCATAATTAATGATGACTTATGCGGATTCAAGTATCGAGTATTACTCAAGCAAAGAAAAAAAAAACAGACACAAAATAAATCGTGTGTATACTGTATATGTCTTCACCGGACGAATTTTCGGGATCAATATTTAAGAATTCCATATTACATTGCGTATATAAATATCTGGCTTTTTTCCACGTTGGTGCGCTATATTTTTTCCTCTCGTTCTCTCTCATGCTAATGCACGTTAGCCTGTGTGTGTTCGTGTGTGTTTATGTGATTCAGCCGTATTGTAATCAATGTTGTGAATGTCAATAACTGCTGGAGCGGGTGGATGTGTGCGTGTGGCACATTTATGCGTGTAGTGCGCAACATTCCATCGAGTGTTCTGTTGAAGTTGTTGGTTTGTATCGAAAATGTGAGTCAAAGCGCGCGCTATGTGTCCTGTATGCCTTCTATTGCCTAAACACGTTCTATTTATGCTCTCATATATATATAGCACGAATTCTGTACAAGTATTTCATATCAACACATACACACACACACACGTACAAATGCCATACATAAAATGAAGATTTTTTTTCGTTCGTTCACATTGCTTTGCGCTCGTCGTCACTTTCACACCACACCACACATTTTTTGCTTATCTACGTACGGTTTGTATCACATTTCGATTCCATAAACGAGTCTCACCTCGTCGTCATCGTCGTCATCGACGTTCTTTCTTCATTTATTGGGGGGATTTTTGCTTGTATTATTCGGGCCATGCACAAAATACACCAACTTTATCCAAAATACCAACACAGCGCCACCACCGAAAATTCGTAACAGCAGAACACATAAACATATACCAACGAGAGACAGAGGAAATTTCTCTTCTCTCTCTCTCTCTATCCCTCTTGCTTCGCTACCATTTTCCATGTATGTGTTTAATGAAATTCGGTGGCGTTTTGCGTTCGATTACACGATATTCATTATGTGTTTTCCATTCGATTTTCATGCTGTCGATTATTGGGTTCGATGATCAAATTATGTCGATAGACTTCACAAAATTAGTGTGCGTTTGCTGCGCACATTTAAAATCATTTCATGCCGTCCGAATTGGAATTGGCTTTGATCGTGAGCTGAGTGTTATGTTGCTCTTTTCTCTTTTTTTTTACCGAATTTAATAGAATTTTCGTGAAATGAAGATGTTACTTTGTCGACCTATGTGAAATACACGGCTCGCCATAAAATGTATATAAATCAATTAATCATCTTTTGTTCGCCACACGGAGATGTGATTTCACAATTTTTTAACCGCAGAGAGAGTGAGCGACAGAGAGAGAGAGAGAAGGGAAAAGAAGAGAGAGAAGGTAGATGGACAAAAAATGTTGGCCCATGTTCATATCGAGTGCGAAAAAAAACCACACTATCTGGGCGCTTTCATAATATTTATGCCAAGCATTAAAAACAGCAATAAAAACCACACAGTTGAACTGGACTCGGTGGTTTCCCCATGACGTAAGTTTCATTTAATGCCATTATAATGGATATGCAGAATCGTTCTCATTTTAGCGAATCATTAATTCTCGATTTGACAACGTAGCCGAACGAACAGGGAGAGAGATGGAGAGACTAACTGACTCTGACTGAACGAAGCAGAAAAAACAGCACATTTGCTGCGTTCGTACATCTTCATTTTTTCCCACTTGAACATCAAACTCAATTTTCTTGCACGTTTTTGATCTGCCGCTGACCAAACCGAGTCACCGAAATTGCACGTCATCTTTTTCGGTGCTGTCTGAATGTCCGAGCGGCGATGTTAATATTTACGTAATTTGTATATTTTTATATTCACTTTCGATTCGGAAAACGGAAGATTAGTTCATCAGAGAGAGAGAGCAATAAAATTGTGATAAGCCTAATCATGCACATAAATGGCATGAAAGAGAAAAAAGGCGAAAAAAAAATGAAAAACATGAAATCACAAACACCCACCGTCGTTAGTTCCAATTTGACACTCTGGTTTGACGACCACTTGGCCATATTGGTTTACTCCAAAGAAACCGCACTCATTTGTCTTTGGTTAAAAATGCTCATTTGCATTTTTGACATGATTTTTACTCGAACCACTGCTGATGAAAATTGCCTTTACTTTTTGGCCCGTTGTCGTTTTCCTTTTTGCGAATATTTCCAAACAAATTGGCGCACACCACGGTAAAAATGTGGTTTAATTCAAAAAAAAAATTGGCCTCACTTTGCTATTCGTCGTTTTTCGTTCAACTCAAATGCAAAAGCAATGGACATGGGACACAAAAAATTTCACGAACAAAACAAAAAAAAAATGCACGTAAAACACAAATGTCCCGTTTGGAAATGAAGAAAACTGCACCAAAATGATGAAATATGTCGTAAATTGCTTTGTAATGCGAAAGAAAATGATAATTTCCCTCTTTTTTCCCTCCTTTATCCAGAGACAATGTAGCTTTTACTCGTCAGTTCAGATTTTCTTTTTTGTCCGCCGTAGACCATCGGAAGTTTCACTTTTCAAACACTTTTTTCCTTATCTCGAACTTTTCATCGATACAGACAAACGGATTTTTATTTCTATTTTTTCGGTTGGAATTTCATTTCAACTTTCTTTTTGTTGTTGTTGTTGGTTCTTAGATTTTGATATTTTATTGTTGCCTATATTTCGATGATGGCTCAAAGTTCTGGCTACTTTTCCACTGCACGGACTGAAATGAATTTTCACTGGATCGGAGTGAGTTTTGTGAAAAATTTACTATGCGAATGCGGAACGCAAACGCACAGGCACACACATACACGCCTGCACGAGAGCGAAAAAGCTTTGAGCAAATGAGAGTGAATCGACTTGAAAAGAGACATAGCAATCGTATTTTGGTTTATATTTTGGTCACCAGCTGTATTTGTTATGTGCTGATTGGCGCTAGTGGTGGTTGGATAGATGTGATATGAACTGTATTTTGGTTTGCGCTTTGACAAGCAACCACACAGCACTCAGAGCAAGACATGCAAACGATATGCTTTTGCCGAGAGTCGATAAACTTTGCCCACTCCTTCATTCACTGTTATCCATGCGTTCCGAATGCTAATGTTTTTTTGAGCAAAAGAGAGTCACATCAAAACCGTAAGCTCGCTCTTTGAGTTCATGTCTACATGTATGTGTGTCTGTGAGTGTGTGACTGTGGCGCGTTTTATCGATACAACGAATTTTGGTTGTGCATTTGACACATGAAATATACACGCACATCATGTCTATTTTGATTGCGGTGAAATGCTTCATCATAGACACACTTCACTCACAAGTGTACAGTTACAAAGGATAGCAGAATGCTATATCTATCTATGAAGCAGCAGAACATGCATTGACTCAGCGTCCAACATGTTACGAACTCAGCAAATGGTGGTAAATCCATTAAAAATGGAATACAATAGTGTGTGTCGTCGTCGTCATCAGTGCTTAAATTTTGAGAATGAATTCCAAACAATGCCATTATGTACCAATGAATATATGTTTTTGAGTCTCATATCAGCCGAGTAATGCGTTTATTATTTATTTCGCGTTGTATTGTGCCGCCCGTTTATTTATGAATAACAAATGTTGAAATGGGATTTCTGCCTCTATAAAAATGCTGTGCTTAGCGCGCACAGCAGGAGCATGTGAGCTAACATGTAATTTTGAATCAAGTTTTGTTCATTTTTAAACTGAAATTTGTATTCATCCTATTCTATGTGTGCTTGTCGAATGTATTTCAAAATTGTATAGCTCTCATGAATATTTTCCTGTCACTCTCTCATCAGCGAACTAATTTAATGATAACGGAAAATCTCAGTCATTAACTTATCTCATGAAATTGGCGTTGTAATGCCAATGAATTAGTAACCAACATGCGGGAATAATTCGATGCTTAATACACATTCTGACATTTTCAGCACATGCGCAACATGCGACTCCAGCGATTTCTCCATCTTCAGTTATTATTTATTTACTTTTCATTACACCAGAGGTACGAGATGTTGATAGAAAAAGAATTCGATTTACTCAAAACTTCATTGTTTCATTCGTATGTTTTATTTGGTTCTACCCTTTTTCAATTGGATTAAACTATTTCGACGAAGCTTGAGCATACTATCGAAATGAAACATTTATCTCGTGAGCTTCAAACGCAAGTGCAAAAATGAGGGGCGTTTTGAAATATTCGGGAGCTAAATGCTTTTGAAGGAGCAGTTCACGTGAGCAAAAGCTCGATGCATTCAAGTTGTCGCACACGATCTACAGATGGCGCACTGATCATCCGTTAGATTGGTTCGAGATTTTCGATATTTCGTCAAGTTCAAGGGCTTCGTTTTAAATTTAGCAGCGCCTTTCAAGCGAAAACAAAACCTAACTAAAAAAAAATACCTCAATGACGAACGCTTCATGAGTCATAATTGAGTGCTATACTTACATTATATCACCTAGTTTCAGTCTCGTTTGAATAAGGGCACAGCTTTTGTGGTCACTTGTTGTAACGGCTCGCCGTCGTCGAGGCGGTAGCCTTGGCGCGCCATTGGCATCATCCAATGAAAGTGTTAAGTTGTTTCCGATTCGAACAGCTGGCGAACTGCCACGCCGACGGGTCGACATGTGCCGACCGGCAACGCCTCCCAACATTCTGCAAATATCCAAAAACAAAAGTCCGATTAATATTTATGCATTGATTTGTCCATCTATTTGATTATTCTAAATGGAATGGATGGCTAGAACTAAGACCCAACAAGTTCTATTCAATTGGTATAATTTTCTGGTGTTCGAACTAAAGGACTTTTTGGACAAGCATTTGCAATTTTTCCACACAAAAAAAATTAAACAAAATTAGATTTGAAATAAAGTGAATACCAATGATTCCGAACCCATTAAAAACAAATTGCGTAGCAGTATGTGTATGTTTACATTTTATAGCTAGTGTGCAGGGAGCTACAGCACACGCAAACCAACAACTCATTTATGATCAAGATTGATGTAATTCCACAACTTCGACTCGATTGGTGAACTAAACACAAATGCATTTTACCATCTAAAAAAAGTGAGCTTAATGGACTCGACTTGATGCGATAACGATATTAAATACAAGTTCCAAACTTGGACGTACGGCTAGGCAGCAAAGTGAATGCATGAGCAGCATACTTGAATTGGTCCGGATCGAGCGATGCACATACCATTCATCGGAATGTACTCCAAAAAAAAAGCGAACGACCAAATATGGCTTCCACCAACACAATTCTTCCGAATAATTCGTGCATATGTGTGTGTGTGTGTCTGTGAATTCATGCAGGAATGAACTAGGATCAAAAATTGAAGATCCTATTTGAAAACATGATGGAAGTTGACGTTGCTCGCACATTGTTTCATTTGTGCTGAATTCATAAACCTTTTCTTTTGCTCCCTTTCGTTCTCGTCTCCACTCACCGACGAGAAAAAGAGTCAATGGAGTGGAAAGAAAGCGTAACGATGTTGCTGTTCGGTGCCCGTTTTCATGTTCATCATCGTGTAGTTAAGTTAGAATGTAAATACGAATCAATCATTCTTCTTCGGAATTTCTACCGACGAAATATAAAATGGGAAAAAATATCATTTCTGACAGCTATGCCAGGGTGCTATGTGCCATAACATCATAACATATATATGCTCTAAACCAATTATGATTTGCGTGTTCAAACGCGGAAATAATGGAAATTTTCCTTTTCTCATTCATGGTCTGTTCCGTGAACAAATGATTGAATCTTACATTCATGCAACGATTTTGTAGATTGACATTCCTTCGCTCCTTTTCAATTCATTTCTTTTGTGTACATTTTCCATGTGTGTGTGTGTCATATTTCCCTCATTCTCTCGAAGAACGCGAACAAAAAAAATGATGACGGTTTTGATATGTTCATTTTTCATTCCATTTTTAACATTTTATCATATTCGAATGGACACCGAGAGCCACACACACATACAAACGTCAGCAAATGTAACGCATATTTTATTGTGAATGACAGCCAGAGTCTTTAAATCGGTCTACATTGCGGTGGAAGCAAGTCATTAGTCGTGCATTTGCAATTCAATGGTATGGATGGAAGCTAAAAGCCATGTACACAATAACATGAACAATAACACACACAAAAACTAGCAAAAAAATTCCCTCGCATTTTATCTGCACATAATGGTCATTGTAATCGTTGACTTTAACTCCGTATTTCATTCGCTGTCTATTCGTTTTATTCATTTACGTATATTCGATGGTCTGATTATATGGACTACAAAACTATCACTAGCTAAAAATCTTTGCTTAATAATCGGTTTTTACCTTGCACGCCACACAAGACGATTAGATAAATAATAATACCGAACTCGGATTCGCTCGATTCGCGAAGCGTAGAAGAATAGAGGAAGGATAGGGCTTGCGAAACGTGGGTGGATAGCAGTGCCAAGTTAGCCATATGGCAAATGAGGCAGTTGCCTCGGGCACCACGTTCTTGGGGGCACCACAAGCATGGGAATTTATTTTTAATAATCTGAAAAAGGAAACACGCAGCCAAAAATGGGCCCAAAAATGTTTTTGGTGCCCCAAAAATGGTATTTCTAAGAAAAAAATTTTGCTCGCTACCGCTCGCATTCGATATGTACGTTCATTTTATCAATAACACAGTTCTACCGATGTTTTTTTTTGTCTGGCAATTGATAGCGACA